GATCCCAGCTGGTTCCTTCTTTGTCTGGACTTCAGGTGCCTTTGGGTTTGAAGCTCTGAGTTGGCAGCTTATGCAACTCAGTGGCCTAGGTGCCCCTAGAGTTCCACCTTTCAAAGACACAAGTAGATATTCATTTTATAGTAATGTATGAAAAGCCTGCCTATCTGGGTCAATGGCATTTTTACGATGAAACTTCCAAAAGAAAAAAAATCTATCCTGGTCTGCCTTTATGCCCAGGAAAATAATGGTGGGGGCATGTTGTTGCCAATATAGGTGAGACTGGTCCAAAGGGAGCCTCACTTCCTTGGCCAGTTGGTGGAGTACTGTAACTGTTAGTGAACTGTTATTCACCAGCCTGGCCTGTAAAGGAGGACTTCTGCTGATTGGCACATCCCACATCTGGCAGTCCTCTCAGCATCAGGGCCAATCCCTTCTTGCAATGAGATGTAGCCCTTCCCAGCAGGCTTGGTACATGCCCACACTTTAGCGGTTACAGCTGAGCTTTGCTTCAACTTCTGGTTTATGCTACTGCACTTCTTCTCAGAGCATATCAGACCTTGATAGTTTTCTATTCACTGGACATGGGTGCGTCAATTATGGGTGGCTCCCTCCCTGTGCCCTATTTAAAATTTGCACTTTTACAGAGAATGTACTTATACTTGCGCCAGGAGCTCCAGGGGCTCTTCCACCCAGCGTGCAGTTAGCTGTGGTTTCTGGGATGTGGGACATAGGATCTATTTTCATCCAACTTGGCCCCAACCCAGAGGTTCCAGCCCACTGAAGCCTGATGTAACTGATGTTATTTAGGCCTGATTTACTGAGCCTGTTTATCTCCTTTCAGCATCCTTAACATGGCGGATTGTTCTTTTTTTTTTTTTTAATTTTTATTTATTTATGATAGTCACACAGAGAGAGAGAGAGAGAGGCAGAGACACAGGCAGAGGGAGAAGCAGGCTCCATGCACCGGGAGCCCGACGTGGGATTCGATCCGGGGTCTCGGATCGAATCACGCCCTGGGCCAAAGGCAGGCGCCAAACCGTTGCGCCATCCAGGGATCCCGGCGGATTGTTCTTATTCTGATTTCTGGATCATAACTTTTTGTAAGTTTTTTCAACTTACATCGCAAGTTGTAAAAAAAAAAAAACATCGCAATAGTCTTTGCCCTTCATTACCTCTCAGTTTATTCAGTGCACAATCAGCTTCTTCAGCTATCTTCTGTAGGTTACACATAATTCTGCAGCTCCTGCCGTAGACCATTGACATGGTCCCTTGTCTTGTTTTGCTCCTCAACAGCTGATATCTTGCTGTTATTTAAAAATTACATTAATTAGGGGCGCCAGAGTGGCTCAATCAGTTGTGTGACTGGTTCTAGTTTCAACTTGGGTCATGTTCTCAGAGTCATAATCTCGGGGTCATGCAGATCCGGATCAGATCAGCATGGAGGGCATGGAGTCAAGCCCTGTGCTCAGTGGGGGGATCCGCTTCTCTCCTTCCCTCTCTGCCCTTCCCCAACCTGCATGCACTAGCGTGCTCTCTCTCTCACTCTAAAATAAATAAAATCTTCAAATAATTGCATTAATTAATCCACTCTATGTGAATATATATAACATTTTTATGAAAAATAATTATTTTCCATATCAGAAAATATTTAGTGAGGACAGTGGCATTGTTTTACATTTTTGCAAATATCTTTAATGTCTGTTGTAAGAGACAGCTGGATTCTCCTATCTGCTTCTACATTCCATCTGTTGCAATATCACATGTTGTACGGCTTCTGGAAAACTGCATGATGTGTGACAGAAGTGTGAGAAAAGGCAAATAGCATCTTATATTATGAAAATGGTTTGGGCCACTTAGAAAGGGCTTCAGGGAACCCCCTGAGTTCCCAGACCACACTTTGAATACCTATGATCTAGAGTGAAGGTCAGTATACTTGTTCTTAAAGGGCCATATTGTGAATATTTTAGGGTTAATCTGTCTCAGCTATTCAACTCTGCTGTGGTATAAGGAAAGCAGCTCTAGGTAATGTGTAAACAAATGAATGTGACTGTCTTCCCACAAAACTGATTTGCAAAAACATACAGGGCAAGGGAGGAGGTGGCTGGATAGGGTACATTGTGGCCAGTGAGCCAACTCCTAATCTACAACACCCAGCTTGCAGGGGCCCTGAGTTTAAGGCTTGTGCCACCAAAGAGGAGGACAGTGCCATCTGACTCATCCTAGCCAGGCCCCTTCAAGAGGAAGAGAAAAGGAATTTCTCAGAAAGATTAGATCTTGTGTTTTAATTACTCTAGTTCTCAACTGGTAAAATCCAGTCTCTACCTTCTACTTAGACATCCCTGGGCCAGGTCTGCTCCTCCCAGGGCCCAAGCCTCTGCCCCGCAGCTAGGCCACTCCTCAGGAAGCACATGCACATCTAGCTCTGGGGAAGCTGTCCTGGCTACCACTGCCTCTCCCGCTGTCATGGGCACCTGGGGAGGCAGTACCAGCTAATGAAGTGGACCAGCCATACTCCTAAGCTAGGTCACCTTAGTGACACTTTGTCACCTGTGCTTCTCTCTCCTTTTGGAGCTTCTTGAATCAAAGCTGACTTTGGACCTAAGTCTTAAGTGCCTCTTACCACTCTTGCTGACCCCATGTCTCCAGACCTGGTGAGAATAAAAAGTCTCCCAGGGAGCAGGTGTTTTTCTTCTGCTGCTGCAGGGGCAAAGAATTCCTGGTTCTGGTTGTAGATCCACGTTTCTGACCTGACATTTCCTCTGTTCATTCCCACTCATCCCCTGGTCCTTCCCTTGACTCTTCCTGCCTCCTCACAGCACTTTGGCAATCTGGCCTGTGTCGGGTGCTCTCTGGCTGGAGGATGTGACCTCTGAACCCCAGACCGGCCTGGGGATGAAGGAAAACAGCTTTGCCCAGACAGAGCTTGGGGCAGCCTAAGCAACTTGTATCGATGACATTTGCCCTTCCTCAGCCTTCCACCAGCTTCAACTTCCTTTGCTGACCTTGTCTCCTCTACCAGGGTAATGCAATCACCCCAGGGGGGCCTGCTACTACCCTGCAAAGGTTGGAGCCTGAGCAGTAGGGTGGGGCAGGCTCCAAGCTAGTCCCCTTAGTCATCATGAGGGGGCCTCCCCCCAATTCATGCCCCAAAACCAACTTTCCCAGTTTCATTCCCAGAAAAAGATTGTGTGCCACCAGCTTGGGAGGAAATTCATCTGTTCCTCTGCCCACCGCTTTCAAACTCAACCAGGAAGTTATTGCTGTTTGGCTTTAAAAATAGAACATTCAAGCTGGACTTTTATGGTCTTGTGAAGAACAGTGTGCTCATGCCCACCCACACCTGGTCTCTGCCCCTGCTTGGCCTCATCCAGCCACTCAGGAGCAGTTCTGCACAAGGTCTGCAGGCCCCTCAGTGGAACGTTGGTAGATTTACGAGTTCAGCCTTGGCGGAGACCTTCCCATGGCTCCCAGCCACAGTTCAGCTGCTCTCCCCCACCCGCCCCATGCGCCCGTGGCTGGGCTGGGACGTTCTGTGTCTTTTTCTGCCTCCACTCCAACTTGCTGAGTCACCCTTCAGCTCCTTTTCCCTGCTGCCCTGTCCAGCCCAGGGGAGGAACAGTGGCTCATCATGCCAGAACCTCATTTAGACTCATGATGGCAATGGTGGCTCTAAGGCTACCCCGTTGGGACTCTAGTCAGCCTGGTCCATCCCCTTCCCCTCTGAGGCACTGAATTTTAACCAACAGCTGGTTCCTTCTTTGGACTTCAGGTGCCTTTGGGTTTGAAGCTAATCCGGAAAGTTACTTTCAGGGTGTGTAGACTCTGTGATTCGTTCTCAAATTATTTCTTCAGAGCCAGAGAGAAATTGCACTAAAGCTCTCAGAGATCTCTGACACCGCACAGCAAGACTTAAGGAGTGTCTGGGAGGCCAGTGCCTGTGGCGGGGAGCTGGGGCTGGGCAGCTCATTTGTAGACAGATTGTAGAAATAACTCCACAGCCAGTGAGGCCTTAGGCCAAAATCATACAAAGAACCCACTGAACTCAGGCCTATCTTGTTTTTCCTGGAGGTTAGGTTTCTAACACAATGGAAAGAGAAGACTGTAATTATCATCCCCTGGAAAAGATAAGTGTTCTCCTTCTAAGGTCCTTCAAAGATGTAATCTAGTCCATCAGTAGTCTTCAGATAGAAGGCCTTTGGGTGCTGTCTGCTTCACTTCCGGTAGACCTGCCTCTAGGATAAGATCGTATCAAACTGGGCGGCTGGGACCATCAAAAAATTCCTCTGGAAACAGGCAAGTGAGCAATGCAAGCTTTCTGGCTTAATCCATACATTAGAAGTCATATCGTGAAGAGAGCGGTAGGGTACAGAGCCCAGAGAGGGAGGAAATGTAGTGATGAGGGTCAGCTGGAGAGATCACAGTGTAGACTAGATTCCTAAATTTGCCGCTGCTTTATGGATATCAGGTAAGGTCTTGTGGAACAATAACAAACAGGTTCCTTTCTTGAGTTTCCATCTGGCTACGTGACCCTGGCCCAGTTCTGTTCACAATCACAGCTGCCCAGAGCCTGCCCTGCCCTTGGCTTTCCCATTAGCACCTGCAGCTGCGGCAGCCCTAAGCCACTACCTCTGCACCAGCTCAGCCTTGTCTCTGTTCTTGCATTGTCTGGAGGTTTTGTGGGAAGCTAAGGGGAGAAAGGCAGGAGGTGGTGCCCTAACTCAGCTTCCAACCCAGCCAAACCCCTTCTTCTCCCACTTCCCTTGCAGCTGCCACAGCAGAGCCCTCAGTGCCAAGATAAGTTTTTGCCCCCCACCCTTGCCCCACCGGTGCTCCTGGGGTACTCTCCCATCGCTGAAGGGCCCATTGCTTCGCCTGGTCTGTGTGCTGGAACCTTGGAGCTGAACCTGAGTCCATCTCATCCCAGGGTTGAGAGTCAGAGTAAAGACAAGCAGGGCCAATAGAGAATCCAGGTCCCTAACTTGAGAAAAAGGCAAGTGTGATGCTCATTTGTCACCAAGAGCCGGTGAGAGTGGCCTCGTGGGAAAGAGACCGTTTGCCTCTTCAGAGACTTGGGGCCTGGCCTCTGCCTCCTTTGTTCTGTGGCTTGAGGTGGTGGTTGTGGTGGAGTCAAGGCCAGAGCTCCCCAGGCCTCCAGCATAGAGACGAGACCGCATGGGCCACTTCTGCAAGAGACGATGATGGGAAGTGAGTCATGCTCACTATTACAGCCTCTCATAGCCCTTGGCATCCCAAATTTGGCCTTCTCTAGCCCCCCCTCCCTGAGACCCTCCACCACCAGCACTGCTCTGATGACAGTGGTCTTGGGCTCACCACCACTTACGACCCCCTGCATTCTCCTGACTACTGGAGCCCGGCAGAGAAACACATGAAGAGCTGTCTGATGAGAGCAAGGGCCCTGAAAGGAGCTTCCCCCTGCCCCCGATAGTGGGATGGAGCAGAAGCTGGCAACAGCCAGGGAGCTGGGCAGTGAGGAGGGCAACAGAGCTGAGGCAAGGAGAGGTTCCTCCTAATAGTGAACAGTCCCGACCTCTTCTTTGCCCAGCCTCTGGCCCCAGAACCTCTGGCCACGCTTATCAGTGCTGCCCTGTCCATCTGAACTGGGGACCTCCTTTCCCATCCTTACAGCAGGAGCAAGGACAACCCCAGAAAACCCCCAGTTGACTCTGCTCTGAGGTCTGCCCTCCTCTTGGCAGGCCCTCTATGGGGATAGGCAGCACCAAAGGGGCACTGCTCCCAGATAACTGTCCCATCCAACCAACACTGCCAGAGTTCTAGATCGAACCTGGCTCTCATCTGTTCATTCTTCAAAATGTTTATCCATCACCTCCTACATGCAAAGGCCTTAGTTGGGTCACCACTTTACAGCTAAGGAAATGACTGTGCCACTGTTAGCATTTCTGAGTTGCCCCCCATGTAGTCTCAAGCGCTTGCATTTTAGCTATATTTGCATGAAAGAAAAAAAAATCTTAAGTTTCAAGACATTTCAGAACTGTGAGGTTTAGAGGAGAGAGATGATGAAAATATCCTCTGTAAAAAACAAGACTGGCCCCATTCCAGTGCTGTCTAGCCTCAGAGGGCAGAGATGACACATCCTTTCTAACAGTTAAACCACTCAGCAACCAGCAGCTTACAATTCTGTACCCTTGGCCTGCTTGGTGGCTGTGAACGTGGGCTCTGAGGTCAGACACGCTAGGGGCTGGACTGCATTAAGCCATTTAATCTCCCTGAGATTCAATTCCTCATCTGCCAAGTAATCCTCATTTGGTTCTTGTGTGGACGAGAGGATGGAAAAGAAGGACTGGACTGCTAAGCCCAGCTCCTGGCATATGGTTAGCACCCAAATAATGTTATTGCTGTTATTGTGATGGTGAATAATGTTGATTATACCCTTCGTTCATGATCTCATTTCATATGAAGCGGAAGTAAGGCTCGTGTTATCTTTGCTTATACATATGAAAAAGCTGAGGCTCAGGAAAGGTAGGTCCTGGTCTAGGAAGTGGTGCATGCAGGAAGCACCCCACACATGCATGCTCCACCCGCCCCCACTGCTGGCCCCTCCCCCACCCCAGCTTGATTCCTTCTCAAGTGAGGCCTCTGAGACCTTGTTCTCCCAGGGCAGGGATCCCTCCTATGGCAGAAGTCCAGAGGATACTGAGGCACTGTACAAGGATGGGGTGATGTGCCCTGGGATATAGGACTCTCCCAGTGTGGTTTCCTTTCCCAGGCCCTAGCCTAAGAAACTGCTTCTTTTCCTTCTCTGCCACCAGGCACCCCAGAGTCTTGGGGCCTCTGAATTTCCCTCCCTTGGAGGAACCGCATTTTCATGAAGTCATTTTGAGTCACCACCCCCACTGCACCCAGGGTCAGCCCCGTCCCAAGAGCCAGCCTCTCCGTCTGAGAGAGCAGGAAGCAGCCAGTCCTCATGTCAGCTCTGCTCAGGGCAGGGAAGCCTACGTCCATTCCAGCCCAAACCCCACTCCCCAAGGCCCTGGGCTCGTGGCCTACCTTGAGAGGGTGCAGGTAGCGGAGTCCACGCAGGAAGGGTGGCCAGGCGGGGCCGGGCAACTCATGGCCAAGTGTGCGGGTGAGGTAGGCTATGTAGCTGGTGGCAAGCACCAGCACGTCCAACTTGGAGAGCTTGGTGTTGGGCGGCACAGCGGGCAGAGCAGCCTGTAGGGCCAGGAAGGCCTGGCGCAGTGTCCTCACCCGGCTCCGCTCCCGTGCAGCGTTCTCAGGACCGGCCTCACTCTGCACAGAGGACCTCAGGTGAGTGGGTCTGACTGGACCCCCATCTGCTCCTTGTTTCTTTTTTTAAGGTTTTATTTATTTATTTATGAGGGATACAGAGAGAGAGGCAGAGACATAGGCAGAAGGAGAAGCGGGCTTCCTGCATGGAGCCTGATGCAAGACTGATCCCAGGACCTGGGATCACTCCCTGAGCCAAAGGCAGATGCTCAGGTACTAAGCCACACAGGCGTCCCTGCCCCTTGTGTCTAAGAGCATTCTAGTGTGAGATCTCCTTTCGGAGCAGTAGTGCGCTGCATGGCAGAGACCTCAGGGCCTCATGGACCTCTTTGTCTGCTCTCAGTCCAGCCCCGCTTTACAGCCGAGGGAACAGAGAAGTGTCACCTGGGGTCAGATGGCAGCAGGGTGGCAAGGCTGGGCTCAGAAGCCGAGAGTCCTTTTCTCCCTTTAATACTCTAGGCCTTGCTCCATCTGCACCTTGAAACATCTGAATCCTGTTTATTGGGGCGCCCGGAACCGCAGGAAATGCAGAGCCACCCCTGCTCTGCAGGACTGACCCCCTGCTCCACCAGGTCCTGGGAGAAGACCCAACTGCGGTAAAGAAGAAAGGGCTCCCAGCCACTCTGGTCCAGTCGAATTCTCCCGGCCACCCAAGCATGGCGCCTTGAAGTGGAAGGCGCCAGTGTCTTCCTCTTGGACTGGGACATAATGCTGAGTGAGGCTTTGGCATCAGAGGTGACACCTCAGCCCCTCCAGCGCCTGCCTCCCCCTGCTCCCTCCACAAATCCACTGTTTCCTTACCCGGCCTCGAGCCAGGCTCCTGGCCCTGACCCCTCGGGGGCTCGGGGCAGCTCTGCTCCACCTTTGGGTGCTCCAGCTGGTCTCTTCCCACCGGTCCTGCCTTGTTCTGCTCAGGCGGCTCTTCTTCCTGCCAGTGCCCGCTACCAACTGCAGCGTGGCCTTAGCCGGGTTCCACCCCACACCTGGCATAGCTGGTGCCCCTCCGACCTCCCGCTGTGACATGCCACGCCCCTTCGGGGGTCCTGTGGCAGCCCCTAGGACCAGAACTTGGGCTTCAGCTAACTGGGCAGGCTGGTCACCCGGCCAGTAATGTCTATATCTGAGGGAGCTGGCGCCAAGTCAGTCCCGCTTCACTCCTCACTCTGGGAAAACGGCCCACCCGGCACAGCCCCCGCGAGAAGCCTCCTGCCTGCCTTCCAACCGGCTCAGGGGTGGGGGTACTGGATGCTGGGAGTGGCCAGGCCCTGGGAGGAGGCCCCTGCTGAAGAAGGCAGCAGGGTGGTGGGAAGGGAGCTCCCTCCCAGAGCCTCGCCTGACCCTGAGAGTTGTCCTGTGAGGCACATGCAACTCTAGCTTTGAGGCTCAGGTCCAAGGAAGGGCCCTGAACCTCCTCCTCCACCAGAAGGCTGCCCATACATGCCCCTCAAAGGACCCTTCCTCCCCTTGCCAATGAACGTGACCTTCCAGCCACAGGCACTACTTCCCATCCCCCAAGCAGGCCTCCTATTTCCACCCTAGTGCTTCTCCATCCCCCAGAATACCTTCCTCCAGGTGGAAAGGCTGCCTTCCTTGGTTGGGTTATGCCCTTCATTTGTGAGGATTTCTTCAAACCCCACAGAGCCCAGAGCCCATGTCTCCCTGTTCGATCGGTACCCTAATTTATACATGGCCTCACTCTGGCTAGTTTCCTCACAGTTCAGTGTTCTGAGATCACTATGTGCCAGGCACTGTGCTAGGAACCTTCTACATATTATTTTACTTATTTCTCAGAACAACCTTATAAGAAAAAAGAGATTCTTATATCCTCATCTTACAGATGGAAAAATGGGTACCGGATGGTGACACAATTCGCCCAACATCACACAGCTAGTGAGTGATGGGGGTGGGCGGAGAGCCCAGGCAGCCAGTTAGGCTTGGAAGGCTGCCCCTTCAGCCTATGTTATTCTGCCTTGGGTGGGTCACTCACATGTCTGTTCCCATGCTAGACATGAGGTCTTTGAAGGCAAGGACCAGGTACACCATATGCTCCATACAGCTGGTCAGGAGGAGTAAGGCTGAAGGAACAGCAAATCTACCACAGAATCCCCTGCCTGTCCTCAAGTTCCAACCTTTTCTTGCTGCACAATCCATCTCACATGTCCCTTGTCCGCCCATCTTGAACTCCAGGGGAGACAAAATAGATAAAGTATAGAGAGGACAGAGAAGTAAAGGTGGAGGTGTGTAGTAGAGTGAGAGAGAACCCCAGCCAACCAGGGAAAGGAAAAAGGAAGACAAGGAAAATCAACCTGAATGTCCATCAGTCAGGAAGTGATTAAATAAATTTTGGCATATCTGGGCAGCCCGGGTGGCTCAGCAGTTTAGCGCCACCTTCGGCCCAGGGCGTGATCCTGGAGACCTGGGATGGAGTCCCATGTCAGGGCTTCCTGCATGGAGCCTGCTTCTCCTTCTGCCTGTGTCTCTGCCTCTCTCTCTCTGTGTGTCTCTCATGAATAAATAAATAAAATCTAAAACAAAAAATTTTGGCATATCCATGCTATGGAATGATGTGCAGTACCAGAAAGAAGACAGACTTCTGTAGAGTGACATGAAAAGAACTCTCCAAGGTGCATGGTTAAGTGAGAAAAACCTAGTTGTAGATCAGTATGTCTGATAAAATCCCAGCCAGGATTAAAAACACCAAAACCCAAAAGCTGTTAAACATGAAGTTTTATATGTTTATATGAAATATACAAACTAGACCAAAAGATACACATTCTTTTTTGTTTTACTCTATAGAAAATAGACCAAAAAAGATGCATACCATGTTTTGTTTTGTTTTGTTTTGTTTGTTTTACTGTCACTGCAGAGAGTTAAACACAATCCTGGGTCTGTGGCACACTGTGGCCTTTGGTACCACAGGGCTTCCTGTTGGCCTGTCTCCCTCCTGTCCTTCCTTCCATCTATCCCCTTTGGTCCCATTCCCATTCTTCTTCCCTATCACCATTCCAAAGTATTTAATGTATACCTTTTGCTAGTTTGTTTAAATGTATACCTTTTGCTAGTTTGGTTTTAAAATATGTACAGAAATTCTTTGATACTTCTCTCTTCAAAAGATGGAGCCCAATATCTGTCCCCGTGAGAGTGGGTCAGACTTAGCAACTTGCTCCTAACAAATAAAATGTGGCAGGGCTGCCTGGGTGGCTCAGTCAGGTAAACATCTGCGCTCAGCAGGGAGCCTACTTTTCCCTCTCCCTCTGCTACTCCCCTGCTCTTGTGTGCTCTCTCTCTCTCCCTCTCTAACAAATAAAATCTTGAAACAAAACAAATAAAACACAGCAGCAGTGTCAGCATCTAGCTTCTGGAAGTAGGTTATAAAAGACCCTGTACAGCAGCCCAGTTGGCTCAGCTGTTTAGCACTGCCTTTGGCCCAGGGCGTGATCTGGAGACCTGGAATTGAGTCGGAGTCTCACGTCGTCGGGCTCCCTGCATGGAGCCTGCTTCTCCTTCTGCCTGTGTCTCTGCCTCTCTCTCTCTCTCTCTCTCTCTCTCTCTCTCTGTCTCTCATGAATAAATAAATAAAATCTGTAGCTTCCTCCTGGGATCACTTGGTCCTCTGGTTCTAGGGCAAGCCAGCTGCTATGTCATAAAGGTACTCCAGTAGTCCTGAGAGGCCTAGGTGGTGAGGAAGGGAGCTTCTCACCAACCGCCAGCACTAACCTGCAACCATGTGAAAGCACCACCTCTGAAAGGGACCCTCCAGTGCCCATTCAGCCCTAGGGTGACTGCAGCCCTGGTCAACAGTTTGAATGTGAGTGTCCCTGAGCCAGAGTCACCCAGCTAAGCTGCTCTAACACACAGACTTTCTGACCCACAGAAGTCATGGGAGGTAATAAATGTTTACTGTTGTTTAAGTTTGGGGGTAATTTGGTAAGTAGCAGTAGATAACACATGCAATAAGTGTTAGTCAACCCTGTGCGTTGTTGTACAGATAAATTTTAAATCTATTAAAATGATAATATATTTTATATTATCAGTATATAATACACTATCAGCTTGTGGTTGGTATTATATGCTTCACTGTTACTGCTTCCATTCAATGCTACGGGGGTTTTTGTTTCACAATATTCTTTTTTAAAAAAAATATTTTATTTGTTTATTTGACGGAGAGAGAGAGCACAAGTAGGCAGAGCAGCAAGGAGAGGGAAGGGGAGAAGCAGGCTCCCCACTGAGCAGGGAGCCCAACACCATCCCAGGACCCTGGGATCATGACCTGAGCTGAAGGCAGACACTTAACTGACTCAGCCACCCAGGAGCCCCTGTTTCACAATATTCTTAAAATAGTTTATTATAAACTAGTTTCATAGGCCACAAGAAAGTAAAGGGACTATGTATAGCCTTTCGGGGAAGCAGGTAAGGAACTGATAAGGGCCAAGGTGAATCAAGGGCCTTGGTGAGTGCATTCCCAGGGGAGGGGCCCTCCCTTCCCAGGAGGAGGGCCCTGCATTCCTGGAGGGGACATGCCCATTAGAGTTGCTCACCCAGGGGGATCCCCACTGGGCAACACATGGAGGCTTCAGGCCAAGTGGCTGGCCCATCATGCCTGGAAGGGGTATCCCTTGCCCTTAGATGGGGGAGGACCCCCATGGCTAGGTGGATACTGGGTTGGGACCCCTGCAGTACTGACTGTCGCAGCAGATGAAGAAGCTGCAATAATGCCCCTTCTTTGTGGGGTCATCACCTGTTGGAATGGCCCACCAACCTCTCAGCCTGGTCTAGCAAGCCCTGCAGGATCCTGGGCACTAGAACACTAGCTGGGACTTCTGTGCAGCAGCTCTGCTGATCCCTGAGTCCCTGGCAGCTCAACAAGTGCCACTCAGGCAATGCCAGTATCTTTGGGAGGAGATCTCTCTACTGTCATTAAGACCAGGTTCCGGGGATCCCTGGGTGGCGCAGCGGTTTGGCGCCTGCCTTTGGCCCAGGGCGCGATCCTGGGGACCCGGGATCGAATCCCACGTTGGGCTCCCGGTGCATGGAGCCTGCTTCTCCCTCTGCCTGTGTCTCTGCCTCTCTCTCTCTCACTGTGTGCCTATCATAAATAAATAAAAATTAAAAAAAAAAGACCAGGTTCCCCCTGGGTTAATTGACTGAGTATTGCCAGAATGCCACCCAGAATGGCAGCAGTCTGCATATCCAAGAGTGCCACGTGGGGCCCTCCAGTCCTACGTGCTCAACGCCACCTGGTGTTGGTATTAACCAGATTTCCAGGTGTATGGCAGGATAGCTATAAAGGGCTGTTTTAATTTGCCTTTATCTGATAACTGACAAGTTCAAACATCCTTTGCATGTGGTGCTTGGTAGAGGGTGCATTTCATTTTTCTCCATCGAGGGAGATGGTTTTCCCAACATTATCAGTTGAACAGTTTATTCTTTGCCTGCATAGTTGCAGCTCCCACTTTATATAACAAGTTCCCGTATTTCTAGATAGGTCAATTTTCGAGTTCTCTCTCTCTTTTCTGTCCTGATTATCTTTTTTGTCTATGTTTGTGCTACCAGCACTCTGCTTTTATTGTTATGACTTTGCAACATGTCTTATTATTTGGTAGATGAAACTCCCCTCTTTACTTTTCTTTTTCAAGGTTTACTGAGTTATTGCTGGACCCTTATTATTCCATATAGATCTTAGAGAAAGTTCATTGGGTTCTTAAAAATTCAACTGAAGTTTTGATTGGGATTTTATTGAATACATAGGTTAATTTGGGGGAGTTTATACATCTTTATACTTCTGAGTCAAACATTCAAAGAGCTTGAAATGTCTCTTATTTTATTCTAAATATTTTTATATCCTTTATTAATTGTATAGTTTACTCCAGGAATGTCTGGGTATTCTTGCCCCAGTGAAATAGTTCACCGTTTTGTCGAACAAAGTAGTTCATAGTTTGTATTGCTCTTGAAAATGCTCTTATTCTATTCAATTTTCTAGTTGAGGGCTGCTATACAGAAATGCTAGCAAATTTTTAAAGTTTGTCTTGAATCCAGCAACCTTAATGAACTTTCTTATTAGTCTTGAAACTCTGTTGCTTCCATTGGTTTTTCTTTTCTTTCTTTTCTTTTCTTTTCTTTCTTTTCTTTTTTTAAGTATTTTATTTATTCCTGAGAGAGAGAGAGAGAGAAACAGAGACACAGGCAGAGAGAGAAGCAGGCTCTATGCAGTGAGGCTGACGTGGGACTTGGTCCCGGGTCTCCAGGATCAGGCCCCGGGCTGAAGGCGGCGCTAAACCACTGAGCCACCAGGGCTGCCCTCCATTGGTTTTTCTAAGTAGATTTTAAAAATGACAATTTTATTTCTTCCTTTCCAATCTTTATACTTGGTTTTTTTTTTTTTAAGATTTTATTTATTCATTCATGAGAAAGAGAGACAGAGAGAGACAAAGATACAGGCAGAGAGAGAAGCAGGCTTCATGCAGGAAGCCCAACATGGGACTCCATCCCAGGTCTCCAGGATCACGCCCCTGGCTCAAGGCGGCGCTAAGCCACCCGGGCTGCCCTGTTTTTTTTTTTTTTTTTCTTTAGAGTACTTGTGCTTTCAATACTATGTTAACTGGAAGTAGTGATAGCAGGCACCCTTTCCTCTCCTAGCCTTATGTAGAATGTATCTAAAATTTCTCCATTAAGCATGATATTTGCTGTGGG